GTATATAATATTCAAAAAAACATCAGAAGCCTAGTTTTATGGAATTTTTCCCGCTGTGAAATACATTCATCAAACACAACACATCTCACACGCCCCTTTCCTCTCTCCTGTGGGATGCCAGCAATCAAACTCCGCAATTTACTATCCAAAATTTGTGGATGATAAATACTGCACGAGCCAGCCATATATCAGATACAGATATTCTAGGCAAAATCCTACTGCTCGCAATTATTCACTGAAGCCTATTATCTGAAAGCCCATTGTAGCAGTGTAAAATAGTAACGGACTGAACTGCCTAATCCGGATAAACAACACGGGTTACCGTGTACATGTGCTGATCATAAAAACGTAGATTTTTTTCTTTTTTTTTTTTGACCGTTTACAAAATCGCACACGAATATCTGGCTGAAATTTTGTAGGAAAACACGCGGTGATGGGCACTAGAATATGAGAGCAGCCGTAGTAAGAAAGGGAGGTGTAAATAGAAAAATTCAAAAAACTGAGTTGAAGCAACAGAGTAGCATCCAGCAGATAAGATGCTGGATGCCCGTTTACTTTCAGAACTTACAGTTTTGTCACGACGACCTGTTCTTCCAATACGATGCACATAATCCTCCGAATTGTTCGAGTAATCATAATTTATGACATATTTGATGTCGTCAACATCTGGAACACATATTAACTCATACAAATAAATTTACCAGATCTGAAGTTCGTAATCAGAAATCTGCAGAAAAAAAAAACGTAATTGTAATCAGCACGTTCAACTTAACCGGATCACTCTCTTCGCGTTCATTACGACAAAAATTCCAAAAACATCAATAATCCAATGAAAATTTGAAGTTTTATAGTTCGAAAACCAATTAACTGGAAATCGGCAAAACCAGCAGCCCGCTTTAGCCACTGAGTTTTACTTTCCACAATTCACGGTGATCCCCAGGAGAGTTCATTTGATTAAATACATAACTGTTTAAACAGATAACTGGTAGAGTGGTTCAGCAGGGCATTGCATGGTGTGCAATCATGAAGCTTATGCAATCAGTTCTCCAGAAACAGAAAAATTTCGTATTTTAGGGAAAAAACAGCGAGCTATCAAGAAAAAAATTACTGGCCAACGCACTGACCGCCCATGCGAAGATGTGTTTTTTGCACAACTCCCCCTAACGGCACTGTTTTTCCCGGCATATGATTCTAGCTAAAAGAATTGAGACTGCCCACCACGAATGTCAGAAATTATTACAGTGACTCCCAGCCCCTGCTCAAAATATTCAGCACTCCACGTGCTCTGGTTTCCGAGTTGCGTCAAATTCCACGTGTTCGTACGTGAAGGGGGGACGTAAAAATTCTTTTTATGCAATACTGCCCAAACACGGTCTCGGGCCATTTTTAGAAATTTTCAGCGCTCCAGCTGCTTCGGTAGCGGAGTTACAACAAATTTCACGCGTCCGTACGTGAGAAGCGAACGAAAAGCGGGGGTTATTTTTACATCCACCTGGCAAAACGTCGCCACCGGCCACGCTCAGAAAGTTCCAGCCCTTTAGTTGCTTCAGTTACAAGGCTACAAAACTGTCTGCGTGAAATTTTCACTTGTCTACGTGTGATACAGAGGGGCTGGAAAGCTTAATTTACTTTCACGGGCATATCAGTGGGCGACAAGATGCAAAGTTACAGCTCTCTACCACTTCTTAACCAGCTTAAACCTGGAGTTGGCACGGTGCCAGTCTGGATTTAGACATGCACGTACGTGAGACAGGGTGCGTAAAGGCTGAATGTGAAATCTCCGGATTGGAAGAGGCCAAGGAACATCTCGAATTTCAGCCTTCTAGCTTGCGCCGTTCCCGAAACCGCTTTTCAGCCAAAAAAAAAATTTCACGCTTCCATACGTGAGAACTACGCGGATGTGAGCGCCCATTTCGAGGATAGGGGTCCGTACGTACCTCCAGATTAAGTTGCCACAGTTCCAGCCTTGTGGTTTTCGTAGATCTCGTAATGAAAACTCGGTACAGACACAGACATACGCACACATACACGCAACCCCTCGACAGTGTGCGTTTTGCATTGCATAGATGCAAAAAAAGGTCATAAAAAGTGAAATACACTTAACAACAGGAGTGCAACGAACAAGCAAGTGGAGAATGATGGATGGTGAGAAATCTAACCTGCACTCCTCACAAATCCATAATTCTGGAGACAAGCAGAGGAAGCTGTGTCGTGCTGTGGCAGCTGAATCCATAGCAAATATCATCAGACTGTCCATGAATTCACGTGTGCAACTGATGGTCTCCGGTCTCCAACTTTGGGAGCCAAACTGAAAAGGCACGATAGCGGTCCATTGTCACCACGGACCACTGCCTTCCTTCAGCTGATGACCATTCTGCACACGTAGCCAAAATGACCTCTCTGGATGCGCGAAGTTTTTTTTTTAAAGAAAATTCCCCTCACTTGTACAGGTCAATTCTCCCTCCCCACCTCTTCCTTAATGAATAAAAAGCCATCATTTTTCAGGACAAAGTCGAAACAGCAAAAAGATTTCGGAAGTGATCAACTAAAAATCGTTTTGAATTCTCGTTTTCAGAAAAAGCGAACGCGCTTTAGAGTAGTCATTGGCCAGAGCCGAACACAAGCACAGAGCTTCCTCCCCTCCCCTCCCCCTCACCAGATCAGTAGCATCAGGAGAGTTCCCGATACAGATTCCCATTCTCACTTACCCCCAATTAATCAACTTATTTGTTCTTTGAAAAATCATTTGTATTCTTAAGCGCAATTATCTTAATTTAAACTTGAATGCATCCAGTGATGTCACATGAAGTGACAGCCCTTCCCGTACAGCATGTACAAAAATAATAAAAATTCACTTCATAAATAATACTTCATATATGCTCTGGGGCAACCAATCCCATTACGATTCATTTTGTTGGTAAAATGCTACTGGCAAATGCCAAGGAGTTAAACCCGCCATCGGTTTGCTTGTAAGCAATCTTCAGAAGAGGGCGCCATCAACAGCTCGGCCAACGGGTAATTGCTGCTGGCATTTGTTAGCACTCGAGCTACATCCTCAGCCCCTCCACCTCTCACTGAGCACGAAATACGGAAGGGGTTTTGACTATTGATTTACTCTAATGCCTTACATATGTCCATATTTTAATGTTGTCTTATTAGCGAGAGCCAACCAAATATAAGAATTAGTAGTGTACCAAAGTTCAAAGAAATGCATTTTAAGTATTTGGCGTGCCTTAACCTAAAACTACCAATTACAACACTTTTTTTCATTTATTCCGAATTAGTACTCTACCAGAATTCCAATTTTGCCTTTTAAGAAAATCTGGTACAAGTAACTTTTAACACGTGAACTACGGCATTCTAAAAAAACTTTTTTCCCATCAGTATGTCTTTTTTGTTCTTGACCTAATTTCACACAACCCTTTTATCCCACGCACACGATCGTTGCTCGTTTCAGATTTACTCTCAGTAAACCACTGAAATTCAGTGAGCTACTATCTCCCTCCCATCAAACCAGTGCCACTTGCTATTTCATCAGAGCTTGTCTTCATGCCACTAATTCAGCTGGCACTTTCCGAGCTTGTATCAGTTAGCGGAAATGCTGTAGATGATTCAGGCTTTCCTGATCTTATTTCCCCTTATGTACATTCAGTCAAGTAAACTCAAACATCAACATTTTCTAAACAGATATTGAAAGAGAACAAAAAAAATTCTCGCAAAAAGCATTCCCCAAATAAACAAACTAGCATTTTTGAACAGTGCGAACATACGGCCAATGTAAATTCAAAAAAAAAAAAATAGAGTATCTGTACAATCTTTTTCAATTCCAAGAAAAATGCAGTTGAAACAAAGATTTGCCTTCGCGGCACGAAATAATCGAGGACTTGGGGAGACGGGCCGAGGGGGAGAAGGGAAAAGAGAACAGATGGAATGCTTCTGATTTTTAATTTTTACACATAATGAGGTACACACATCAATTATTTTGTTCGTAGTGCAGAACAAATGTGACGACTCTGTCCCCTTCTGTAATGAATACAACTTACCTAGTCCACGAGCAGCTACATCAGTTGCCAATAAAATTGGAGTTTTGCCACTTCGAAATTCTAAATTGAATACTTTAAACGTGAACAAAAAAACCCATCTTATTAAATATACATTAAAAAAAGCAATTTCGCTTGATTTATGATAAATGCGCCAGCACCAGTTCTGATACTCTTTGATACATTCACATCAAAAATCATGTGCGTGGCAAAATGCCATTTTCTCCACATATTTTTTGTCAGAAGTCTTAACCTCTGGTAAATTAAATTTACCCACTTCTACACTGCTGTTTCCAGTTGTATTTTTGTTCTAAAAATTTCCGTGAAACATTGAAACCCAAAAACGCTCACCATTTAATGCCCAATCACGCTCTGACTGGCTTTTGTCGCCATGAATACATAGCGCCGGCCAACCGTCTCGGCGCATCCAGCGTGTCAACTCGTCTGCTTTGCGTTTCGTTTCCACGAAAATTATAGTTTTACAGTCCTCCTACAACGTTATTACATGAAGCTTTCCTGCTCATCAAAATCAATACTGAGAAAGGACTGCATCGAAAGACGGCTGGTGAAGTGGCTTTTGAAAAAGCACACGTGACAGAGACAGTAAAGCAGTGGGAGAGAGAAGCAACTCGCAGTAGGAGACCTTGGCATGTTTCCAAATGAAGGTCCGTTGCATCTCAGTACCGCGGAAGGCTCGAAATCAATATCCTAAAAGTCGGAATCATGATTACTGGGGCACCTTTCCGGGCCCAAATGGAAATGAATATTCGCCGCGCACTGAATGGCTATATCCCTGCTGAGCACTAATTAAATGTCAGTGCGAAGATGCGTTTTTGCGTAGTTCCCCGCAGTTTTTTGTCGCCAGCGTCAATGGTTTTTCCGGCATATGCTTCTAGCTAAAAGAATTGATGCTGGCCGCCAGGACTTCCAAGAAACGTCCCTTTAAAATTCTAGCTTCCTAGCTTTCCTGGTTCCCGAGTTAGCAACTTGCCCGCAAAAAAATTCACGGGCCCGTACATAACAGCCATGCATACCCGGAGCTGGGTTTGAACTCATTAATACCCACGTAGACGAGGAACATCCCTTTAAAGCTCCAGTCTTCTAGTTTCTCAGGTTCCCCAGTTAGCGACTTACTCGAAAAAAATTTTCACAAATCCGTACATAGGTACCACGCGTAGCCGATATCTGGGCATGAGCTCATTAACACCTACTTGGGCGAGAACATTTCCTTAAAATTAGAGTCTCCTAGCTTTTCAGGTTCCCGAATTAACAACTTACCACGAAGAAACTTTCACGGACCCGTACGTGGATACGACGCGTACCCAAGGGCTGGGTTTGAACTCATTAAGGCCTACGTGGACGAGGAACGTCCCCCTAAAATTTCAGCTTTCCAGCTTCTTTGGTTCCCGATTTGGCAACTTACCCGTAAAAAACGTTGGTGGGCTCGTACGTGGGTACAACGCGGGTAAGACCGCTCATTTTGGGGATGGGGGTTTGTACATGCATGCAGATTAATTTCCCGAAGTTTCAGCCTTGTACCTTTTGCAGGTCCCAAGATGAAAACACACAGACAACCCGTTGTAAAATATGTGTTTTCTGCATTGCACAGATGCAAAAAACGCATAAAAAAGGGTTGCTTAACGGATATTACGATACCTAACAGACATTTGGATAACGGCACGCGACGAAACAATTCCTCCATAAAAACCATCTTTTCAAGCTCAACAGCAAGACGCGGAGGATCTTTTTTTATGCGTTTTGTGCTATGTAACAGCAGTACAAAACGCATATTGTTACGGGGTTGTCTGT